AGCCCTATAGAAAACCATTCTCTGTATTTTATGGCTTCCTGGTGTAGCTTATCTGTTTATGATAACCACCAGATTGGAATACTTTAGAAAAATGAAATTTCATGTCAGATCAACTTGTGATTCTTGGAAATAATCAAAGTTTCTGATGCAGACAGGGCATAAGTTTGGCATGAAAAGTATCCTAAATAGATTCCATAGGACATCCCTTTAACTGTCCATATCAGAGGGCCACCAATGCTTGTGGCTGGCTGTGGGTTGTTGAGTCAGGTCTGACCAGGCAGGGGACACAGGAGAGTAAATACCCACTTTTTTTGCTGGGTACATCAAAGAACTTCCCAAACACAGCAATTTCTTAAGTTTATTAGTGGAGAGGAAAAAACAGGGAGAATGATAAGCAGGGAAGTGAAGAGATGCTCATCAAAATGAAGAAGAGTGTCATATTTCTGACAGGAAATTCCTAGCTCAGTTAGTAATTTGGGTACTTACATTTCTTTCCTACTTTTTCCCTTTTATTTCTTATTTTCCTCCAACTAATTGATTTTATTTAATTGATTTTTATTTTTAATTGGTTTTCTTTTTCCTCTCTTTCCTGCATACACCTTTTGTGCTTCTGTGTGTACTCCATTTCTATAATTGCAATTTCTTTTTCTAATTCATCAGTGTTGATTTTTTCTCAAGGTCTCTGCATGATTTTTCAACCTTTCCTCTGTACCCTTGTAGATGCCATTAGGCTTGTAACTGGAATAGAATAAAAGGGAAAGATGGAAGGCAGGCTGCTGCTGCTTGCTACTTGGTGCCTTCCTGCCTGCCATGCCATGGACTGTTTCTTCTCTGTAATGATACCCTGCCTTGGAGCCAGCTGACTATGAAGTGAAACCTCTTCAAACTGTGAGTTAAAGTAAACCTTTCCTCCTTCAACTTGTGGATGTCAGATATTATGTTCCAGCAGTGAGAAAGTAAAAAATGCACCTAGACTATGTTGGCCAATGTTCTCAGGGTCCCACTTCCACATAAAATGTTTATCGAGATCTTTTTATTCATGGATACCTTTTCTGAGAAACATTTTGGTACCAGTTCTTCACATTATTAATGAACAGAAGAGATGGGATGAAACATTTAAGTTAGGGAAGTCTAACAAGGCCAGCATATAGAAAATAAAACAGAGGACAAGTAGAACTGGTGTTGCAGCAGGCAGGTAGCTGCTAAGGTTTGAGTGTGTCATCCAAAAGTTCATGTGTTGAAAACTTAATCCTCAAATTCATATGTTAATGGTATGTGGAGGTGGCAATCCAGATTAGATAAGGTCAAGAGGGTGGAGACCCACACAGGCACTAGTGGCTTTATCAAAAGAGGGAGTTCTAAGTTAGTGCACTTGCTGTCTCACCATGTGATGGCCTCTGCTCTGTTATAAAGCCACAAGAAGGCCCTTACTGGATGCCTTCACCATGACCTTGGAGGTCCCAGCCTCCAGAACAATGGGATAAATAAATCTATATTCTTCATAAATTTCCTAGACTGTGATATTCAGTTATAGCAAGGAAAACAAACTATAACAGGAACATAGTGGGACATGAAGGGTGAAGACCTTCGAATCTTGTGCTAACTCCCACCATTGAATGTCGGTTATAGAAGAGGCACCAAACTAACCCACAAGGACAAAATGAGTGAACTAGCTGCCAAGATAAGACAGGGGCCCTGCCCATGCTGGCACAATGGGTGCTTGTGTGGAGGGGCCATGGTGGGGGGCTGGAGGCGGCAAGGCTCCACAGCATAGCCTTCCACTGACTGAGCCTCATCCAGCTACTGCTGCTGTCTGCCCCAAATACAAATCCTGGGAGGTGTGGATTGTGGTCAGGGTCAATTTTAGGATCATAGACTCTATACTTTCATCCATATTCTGTTGGCACAGGAGGCTGGAAATAAAAGAGGGAGTGAAAGTAGAAAATGGAAATGCTTTGGCACCCAAACAGTACATATGGGCACTCCTTCCTCTTCTGCAGAGACCTCCTAACTGGTAACTGTCTATACTTCTGCCACTTCAAACACTCAAAGCCACACCATGAGATCCCTATACCAGCTTCCCAGGCCTCTTTCTTGATGAGTAACATAATAGCTCCTTTAGTGCCTCTAAAAAGGGTTCCATTGATGTCAGTCATGTCCCTGAGGTGCAGGGAAGATGTACATGTGGAGCCCCTGCAGAAGAATTCTCTGTGTGGCCTTGGATGTACCCAGTTTCACCTTTTGTCACGTGTAGTTATCAAGAATAACTTTAGAATGTTCTAGGAAGGCAATCTTTGAAAACAAGAGGGAACTGATGGGAAAAATGCAGGCTTTATTTAGGTCCCTTTCTAGAACCAGGATGTCTTTCAATGCTGGGTTACTGGAGGTGTGTGAATCCCAAGGTTTTCTGCTTTTTTGGGGGGAGGGGTCCCTTACTGGAGTGCAAATGTGGCACACACATTCCTAGCTCCATCCATTCCACGCAGATTTCTTGAGCCCTGTGGCACTAGCTCAGCATGCATCCTAGGCTTCTGTTTTCCCTTGCTGCCTATCTTTAAGTCTGCTCCATGTAACAATCTGCTTTACTCAAAGTGCACCAACTTAAATGTTAACTGCTGCTAAACAATAACTTCATAGTACTTTCCAGGCTAGTATTTGACTGAACTGCTGGATGCCATACCCTGGGCAGGTTGGCATGTTAATTAACCATCAAGATGCTTAACTTCCCTCTGTCTCTATTTTCTCATCTGTAAAAACTGAAGACAGAATACTTCCCACTTTAATGATTGCTATGACAATTAAACGAGTTAACATATATAAAGCTCTTAAAGCAGAGCCTGGTTACAAGAAGTACTATGTAAGTGTTAGTTATTACTTTCACAATCATGATAATTTTGGAAAATATGTGTCTTAGCTACTTTTTTCCTTACTGAGACAAAATACCTGACATCCAAAGTTAAAGGAGGAAAGCTTTATTTAGCTCACAGTTTGTAGAAGTTTTAGTCCATAATTGGCTGGCTCCAAGGCAGGGTGGATGGCAAACAGGCATTGCAGAGAAAAAAGAGTTCATGGTGGGCAGAAGGTAGCAAAGCAACAAGGGATGACCACAGCTCTTTCTATCCCTTATATCTTATCCAGGCTACTTCGGGCAGGTAGCACTCACACCCTTAATCATAGTGCCCTCGATCCTAGCATTGCACCATGAGCCAATTCCAGCTTCACATACTCTTGATTCAGCCACCTCTGAAAAAATCCCTCCTAGGACCACACGAGGCTTTGGGGCGGGGGGACATCTAGATACAAGCCATAACACTATGTGTAATTTTTTCCCAGCTATTTGTAACTGTGACTAACTTTTTCTTCCCAAATCACCTCAGAGTTGATATCCAAGGCCATCAGTGTCCACCAAGCACCCATGTACTCCTCTTGCATCCCAGCCTCCTTGCAGTTAGGTTGGGGCCAGGTGCCTGGGTTCTGCTCAAGGCATGTGGTTTAAGAAGTGAGACATGAGAAAGACTGTTTACCACATTCTGTGTTGATGTGCCCTGTTTAAGAGATTTGCACAAAGAGGCCCTTCCTCAACAAAACAACATTACTTGGCTTGTAGAAAGTGAAGGATAACACTGTGTAGGCAAAACACAAGAAGTAGTATCAATAAAAACAAATGCAATTTAAACCAAAATGATAACTGTGAGCTCTAACTTCAAGGAAAAGCTCCATGACCCAAAGACAAATGAAGATTCAGCTGTCCTCCCTGGGGCGTACATTTTGACCTCTTTGTTGATGAAGCCAGAGATCCCAGAATGGGGCTGTTGTGGTCTCAGTTCAGTAGCACTAACACCTTCTTCTTCGTTCTTAATAAAAATATATGCAAACCCTCTCTGGAGTAAAATCATCTTGATTTCAGTACCTGGAATTTCCATATTTGAGTTCACAATCAATAATTGTGAAACTTCCTCTGGCAAAGAAATCACGGAAAGCGAAGCTGAAAAAAAAAATCTAATGTCAGATTTACATTCTGTCTCAATCAGATTAGATCCATGTATGCTGAAAAATCTTTGTGGCTAAACACTAGGCTGACTTCGGGCCTGTTCTGCGGCAGGTCTGGGCAACTCCAAGATCAGTTTGTGGAAATGGCAACTACTGAAATTGATGATAGGTGATTTGTTTCAATGGGTGAAGCAACAGTATTTTCATTACTCAGACAAGGGGAGGAATGGTAACACATGATTCCGAAGAAGTGATAACGTTAAAGCATTTACAGAACAATTTAAACTAGAACATTAGATTTCTACACTAGGTAACTATTGTAGTAAATGTTCCTTGGAGATCAATCAAAACTGAGTAAAAGAAAATGAGAACCACTTTACTACACTGAGTAAGATTTTGGGGGGATTTTAGCATTTTAAAATCACATAGTAACTGTATTATCATCCCTGCTGAGATGTTATTAGTCCTTTCTTACAAAGGCTGCCTTTTAACGAGGGTGGTCAGAGTTGTGGAGATCCTAGAAAATGTATTTTTTGAGAACCCTAAGGTTTCTTCCTAAAGTTTACTCTGTCTCTGAAACGTCCCTCCTCATTACCTTTGTCCTCTGTAATCGTACAGTTTACAGACACTTTTGCTTTTTCTTGTTAGAACACACACTTCAGACAATACAACAATTAAAATTCTTACCAGGGATTTATGCTCTTAAAAGAATAAGTATAAGGCCTTGTCCTGAGAGAAAATATTTCAAGGAAGGAAGGATTAGGGGGGGAAAAAGAGACATTTACCTAGTGGTGAATCTGTAGGGTTCCCTGGGAAGAGGACAAGAATCAGAAAGGAGAGATCAATAGTTTGTGTCCTGGGCACAAGTTTTTCTGAGACACCTGGTGCTTGTTAAGCCTCTGAGCCTAGTGATCAGGAGCAAGATAAAAATAACCCCAACACTGGTATTTAATTTCTTTCTGTTCTTCAGGCGACAAGTGCAAACGCCTGATTTCCTGTGTTGATGCCTACTTTCTGTTTCTGCCTCATAGCAGACTCTGTTGTTTCAAGAACAGTTCCTGAGCTCAGATCACAATTTGCTGAAAAATACAAGCGAGCATTGGCCTTAGCCCCATGATTTCATACGTCTCAGAAGCTTTCCAGTGGCTTTGCCATTCACTCCCTCAAGGAGACCACTATGTGTTGTCCCCAAACGAAGAGACAGGGAACTGGCAGGACTGTGTGGCTCAGCAAGACAAGAAATGTGGCTGTTCCTCTTGCCTGCTGGCCTGTCAGCTGGTAAGTCCACTTGTGTGTGTGCTTGTGCATGTGCTGTATTTACGTGAATGTGTGTTTAATGTATGTGTATGAATGGTGTGTGCACCACTTTTGAGTGTGTTTATATGTGTGTGGTGTGTGAGTGCTGTTTGTGTAGATGTATTCATTGTTTGTATATGTTAGTGTGTGTATATATGGTTATATGTACGTTTCTATATGTTAAGGTGCCAACAAGTATGTGTGAGTGGTGCATGTGTATTGTATATGTGTATTTCTGTTTGTGTGTGTGTTGTGGTGTGATAAAAAGACCTGTGACTAGGAAGTCTGGAGAATTTTGTGCCTTGCCATGAACTGCTTAAGGTTTGGCAACACCCTTCTGTTAGTTTTGCTTTCTTTTCCTGGGTAACATAACAAAGGTGATAATATCAGCTCTGTCTTCTGAGTTGGAGAAAAAGAAAAATCTACAAAGTATGTGTGTGGTGCTGTTCCAGGTGGGGCCTAGGGTGGGGCAGCAAGGCTCCTAGGATGAAGACCCATTCTAGGCTGTGCCAGGGCCCAGTGCAGGTTTGCAGCCTGCTATGCACAGGCATAGAAGGCAGTGGGACCTCCCCACCATCCCACCCCACTCCGTTCACTGAAGCCCACTTGGCAGGTGGAACACTTTTTTTTACCAGCCTGCAGCTGAGTGAGTTTGTGTGAGGCTGTCCACCTGGTCTGCTTCCTCTCTCTTTCTGGAAAGTCAACAAATTTTGGGGTTTCTTCATTCCCAGCCTGGCCTATTAAAGCCACAGTAGCCTCCTCCATGGCCAATTCCTGAGATTTGGGAGGATAGAGTGATTTGTCAGGTGAACAGAGCAGAATGAACATACAACAATGCTGTGGTGATGAGAAACCACGTCTGTTGAGATTCCCTGGCATTGGAATCTCCATCCCCCAGAGCCTTTACCTGGACTTCTGTAATCTGCCTAAGAATGGCTACACATTCTGAAAAAGCACTCATGGGCTGGGTAGTTTTCTCCCCAGTTCTGCAGAAAAAAATCAAGTAGATACAGCACTGTGAGCTGTTGAAATAGAGAACTCTGTTAGTCCATGAAGCAAGGGCATACATTGCTCTCTTATCAAATGGGTGATAAGTGGTCCTGGCTAGGGGTGATGTGCCCCTAATGTGCAAAGAACCCAAGAGTTGCTCTAAAAATGCTATGAATATTTCGGGACCTTGTATGGAAAGAGACCTTCAGGGCATCTTCCAGTTCCAACATTCACCCCAAAGGGACATCATGGCCCAAGGAGTGTGAGCATCCTAAGTGATGGCTGTGTCTCACTAAGTGCTGAGGTGTCTGGCTCTGAAGGTCCCCGTGGCTGTTATCTTATTCACAACAGCAGCTCCTGGTTCTTCCACTCCTCACTCCCAAACCTTCTCCAAAGATCAAGCCTGGATGGCTCTTTCTGGCTCTAACACCCAGAGCAGGACCCTCCCACAATTTTCTACTCATGCCTTCTAAGCACACTATGGGAAACAGGTTCAGGATCCCACCAGATTCTGTGTCTGCTTCTCCCCTTCCTCCTCCAGACTCTGTCTATTCATTCATCAGTTCCAGCCCAGCAGTTCCTTTCCCTGTGCAATTACTTATACTCAAGATGGAGACCACAGTGGGAGTGGGTCCGGGTCTCGAAAGCTAGCAGAGAGTGTCTTAGATCTCTTCTACCCTCTTCTCACTCAGTCTCCCTTGACCTTAACCCAGTGTAAAATCTTCCCCCTCACAAGAGAATGGTAAAAGGTAAAGTGCACAGTAAAACTCATTTGGAAAATCAGTAAAATTCATTATTGTTTTCTCTAGGTGGAAGAAGAATATGTACTGATTTCAGAGATTTCCCCAAGCCTGCCTCTCTGGAGCCCTACAAAAGAGCTGTCAGGAGGTAAAACTACTTCCCTAGCAGAAGGGCACTGGAAAGCAGTGTCAGTGAGGACAGCTCGTGTGCAGGAGGGGCATGCTCCACACATGGAATGCTTGGAGAGGCAGCTGAAGGCTTCTGTTGAAGAGATTTAGCCACCTCCACCAAAAATAAGGAGAAAGACCCCTGATAAGAGGTCTTCAGACTCTGGGTTTTCTCCTTGAGAAGGATGTTCTATGTAGCAGTGGGTGTGATGAAAACAACCAGTCTTGACACAAGGTTGGAAGCCAGCAGTCCCTGGGTAGGAGACATAATTTAGGAATGCTGGAAACCTACCCATTTTATTGTTCACAGAAAATTATTTGTGATTTTTTATGTATTTAATATGAATTATTTTTATACTTTATGAACCTTAAGGACCTGGGCAATTGGGAAAAGGACATATTAATCTACTACATAGAAAAATTACCAATGTGATAAACACAATTTTACCTCTTCTTACAGTAACCGAGATTAAATATTAATTTAAAAACTAGAACTCAGATGATGTATTTGGCTTTTAAGTCCAAGGGTAGAATCTGGCTGTAGCTGCTCTGATGGGAGTTACTGTCTTTCCCCAGATGTGTATTGACTAAGCCAGCTGGAACGAGTATCTGACCATCCATACTTCCTCTAAATTCCCACCCATTCACTCAAATGCCTTTCCCCTCCCTTGGAAAGACTGGAGGGAACCAATGTCATTCTTTCAGAATTGGGAAGAGGGTCAGCCAGCCAAGGGCAGCAGAAAGTAGCAGCAAAACTGGTCAGTGCTAAGGAGGTTAAGAAAAGACAAGTGCCCACCCCGCTTTGGGAGGCTTAGCATTGTGTGGACCCATGAATGTCTTCAGTGGGAACCAGATTTGGAAACTAACTATTCTTTGTCATTTCTTTATGTGCTCTGGATCTTGGCATCTGCCCTCCAGCTACAGACATATCTAAAACTTTTGGCATTAGGTTTCCAGAGTCTGTTTGGCATCTCCAAGTCCCCTCTCTCAGTGATGGCTCTGATATTCCTCTGGGTAAGACTGCTCAGCCCCACTTTCAAGGATGTAGATGAGAATGTTAACCCATGGCAGGTCTCAGGGTAACGGAGCCCCTAAGGTAATGGAGCACACCCAGGAGCATAGCTTCTGATAAATGGAGTGGATTGGGTTCTAACCCCAGTTCCCTCTGCTTTGTTTTATGTTTCCAGGTCTGACAGAGAAAGAACTCATCCCAAGGAGACTAAGGCTCATTCTGGTGGGGAAAACAGGAAGTGGGAAAAGTGCAACAGGAAACACCATCCTTGGCAGGGAAGTATTTGAGTCTAAACTCAGTGCTAAACCAGTGACCGTGGCCTTCCAGAAAGGGAGGCGAGAGTGGTATGGGAAGGAACTTGAGGTGATTGACACCCCAGATATTCTGTCCTCTCAGGTCCAGCCGGAAGTAGCGGCTGAGATCTGCCAAGCCATAGCCTTCTCCTCCCCAGGGCCTCACGCAGTGCTTCTGGTGACACAGCTGGGCCGCTTTACAGAACAGGATCAACAGGCTGTCAGGCGTCTCCAGGAGATCTTTGGAGTGGGGGTCCTGGCTTACACCATCCTAGTGTTCACCCGGAAAGAAGATCTGGCCGGTGAACACTTGGATAAATACATGCGAGAGACTGACAACCAAAGCCTTGCCAAGCTGGATGTGCTGTGTGAGCGGCGCCACTGTGGCTTCAACAACAGGGCGAAGGGAGTGGAGAAGGAGGCCCAGCTGCAGGACCTCATGAATAAGATTGAATGGATCCAGTGGGAAAATGAAGGTCACTGTTACAGCAACAGGGCTTACCAATACTCCCAGCAGAAGGTTCTGTGCCAAGAAGTCTGGGAAAGACGGATGACCCAGGAGCAAGATTCCGAGGAGGTGCTGAGCAAGGAGTCTTGGCTGGAAGTCTTGTCCCAAATCCAGGAGGAATCTGAGAAGACTTACAAGTGCATCCTGGGGAGGATGTCTATCTGAGTCCCTGCACGTGAGCAGGAGATCACTCAGCCCCTGCATCTCCATATCCAGACCTCATTGCTGGCTTCGTTCATACTCCTGGAGCACTGCCCAGGGCCCCAGGTCAGAGGGGTGTGGCAGAGGGGTGGGGCCCTCAATTCGGGTGCCTGGCTCATATACCAGCTCTTCATTGCTTCTTCCAGAGCACTGGGCTCTCCTTCCACTGTACCCCAACAGTCTGCTGTCCTCATATGTGACCTTCTATCTCACCAGCATTACATTTCTTGGGGTTTGTCTCTATGCTCTCATAGAACCAAAGCTTCCTGAGGGCAGGCGTACCACTTTCTTCCCTGTAACACCTGCAACTGCCTGGCCATCAGTCAGTCAATGTTGATGCAAGTTCATGTAAGCCACTGACCAGATGGCTTCACATCTCTTGGGCTTTATTCTCACCCATAAAGGGAGTGGGCATGATGGCTGTGAAAGTACCTGCTGTATGTGATGGGTAGCACATGGCAATGAGCCAGAATAGGGAGGCCCAGACCCCTCTGATGAGAGTTACTTCCTTCATGTGAGCTATTTTAATAGGTTATATCCTCTAAGATACCTAGCCTGCCAGTACCAACATTTTTTTAAATACTTGTAAGAGACTTTCCTGCAACCTTGGCATGTGCAGAATGGCTAATTCTCACTGGATATGGCCTTCCTGGGATGACAGTAGTGAGTGGCATTTTTTGTGAGCTGAGACAGACCCAATGTACATGAGAAGACTACTGTGTCGAGGCCAAACCTTGGTGCTAAGACTGAAGACAGGGCATGTGCACAAATTGTGAGTCATGTGCAACAAATGTCAACTGCACCCATGCAGGAGAGAAACCGGGGACTATAAACTGTGTATGACACCTCCACAGGGAGCCAGTCTGCAACTTACCTATGCACTATCACACTTGTGGTTCAGCATAAGCCCTGAATAAAGCTGCATTTGGTCAACGTTACTTGCCTCTTTGTGATTTCTACCTTGAAATGAGCAAAAGAATCCTGGTCAGATGGTGACTGCAGTGTCTCTGATGCATGGGGATGGATGGATACTGGGCTAGGGAGAAGAATGAGCAGGAATAGAGAAGCAGGCAAAAAGCAGTTCTTTCTCTGGAATCATAACTAATAAGTCCCATGGGAACTTCCGAGCATTCAGAATGATGAGTGAAGTTGTGGTTGGGTATCCAGAAAGTCATCCCTGGGCCAGACAGTGGCCCTTACCCCTGGCTAAAGGATATGGAGGACCCTGGAGGTGCCAGGTGGGCTTGGACAGAAGACACCAGCACCCTTCCTAAGGTAGACTTAGACTGGGAAGGCTATAAGTGTCCCGTCTCTTTTTTCCTTGGAGCTCATGACCTTTTGTTAGATCTGAGCTCTAGCATTAGAAAGTAAAACTAGTCTCACCTGCTTCGCACTTACCTGCACTTTTCCCTTCCCCTTTGATAGTGGGGAGTGTGGATGAGGTAAGTGTCTGCATATGTAAATGGATTCCCAGCAAGGTGGCAATGGAGAATGGAGGGAGACAGAAAAGAAAGGGAGGTCCACAATGGAAGCAGTTGAATGCCTTAAATTCCAGTGGGACTATCTGCCTTGTTTATGAGAGAACTGTGACAAATGTGTCTCTGTGGAAGGTTGGTCCTATAGACGGTGTTTATAGGAAGCAATGCTAGAAAGGTCAAGAAGGGAGCAGGATGTTGGGTCTAGCCTTGAGCTCTCTGAGTGCCTGAGCAGATGACATGCCTCAGTTGCACCTCAACATCTTGCAGGTTCAAGATGCTCCTGGGGAGTTTGACCCACTGATGGGAAGCTAATGGGAGGAAATGGGAAAAGCCTTCTGATATCTTCCTCTTCTCTGTTTCTATTTTGTGTGGCAGAAGGACTCTAGCTGCTGTCCCTGGGGAGAGAGGGAAGTGGAGGTCATGATGATGGTGCTGAGAACTATCAGAAATGGAAGGACACAGCCACAGGTTCACCTGGTGGTTTATCTGCTGGTGAGACATCTGCCATTGGACAGTGGACATACGGCCTTCCTTTCCAAAGCCCATGTTACCCATCTTCCTGAGACATGCAGCTTCCTTAGAAAGCATAAGCATATTTTTTACTGAAAGATATAGAAAAGTGTCTCAAAGCAGGACAGACACTCATTTTGGTCTATGCTTAAGATAGTATTTGTGCTAAATAAGTGTATTAAATAAGTGACCCCTCACCTGCTGAACTGAATGTGCAACATTTATCATTTATTCCATTCTCACGCTTCCTAAGACATGTCAACATTTTCAATTCTGTTCACATTTTTTCCTTTTCTACTCCTAGATGATAAAAAATATTGATATACTGATAGTAGTTTTGACTATCATGGTCAACAAAGTTCTTCTTCGGTCTATATGTTTATATCTTCTTTATTATTCTCAGGCATTTACTTTTCTATGTGAAAATTAAAAGCATTTGACTGACTCCTGAAAAAGTACCCTACTGGTATTTAGTTGGAATTGTCTTATAGTTATGTATTAAGTTTGAGAGAGCTGAAAAATACTTCAAGGTGCTGATCTGTTCAAGTTCAAAAATTGTAAAATCAGAAGAATTTCTCTTGGAGTGTGAGGACTGCAATTCAGGAAAATGTAGATTCAGACAGTTCTGAATGAGACCTCTGGAGACACTCAGATTCTCTGAGTTGAGTTGGAAAAGGAAGGAGAAGCTGAGGACAAAGGAAATTATGTAAGTCATATGAGAAGAAAATTGATTGGTGCAGAGAAACTACTCTAACACTGGGCCTCACATCAACATCTGGCCCTGCTTGGCCCTTCGTGTAAAGGTGATTAGTCATTTTGAGAAAGAGAAGAAGCATTTCCCTCTTCTCTTTTTACTGTGACAGCCAGAGGCAGATGTGATGCGCCCCAATAGCAGTCATGCATCTCCCCTTCGGTTACCTGTTTGTCCCCTGAGGGTGGACTGGGACAGCTTGCCCCTTTTCTTCCCAGGTTATTTTGTGGCCAAGCTCCAGGCCACTCTGACAGCTCAGCAATAGCTGCAGTGCCCCTGCCCTCCTGTCACTTCAGACACTGCCTCTGGCTCTCTGAAGAACCATGGGGTAATCAATCCTAATTAATGGCAAAGATCAGGGAGGCATCTGAGCCCATTACTAATACCTGAACAACTCAAACTCCATTAAGCTGTGATAAACACAGCTAGCCCTGCTGCAGATTTTCTGGGATTTTTTCCCCCCACCATTCTCAGGAGCCACAACAGCTGTCAATGAAACAGTCATGTTTCCTGATGTTTTACTGCACTGCTTGCATGACAGCTGAGACTATCCTGGATGCTCTACACATGCTCCAGGAGATGTCTGGAGCAGGCTTGAATTGGAACTAAGCAGAAAAATTTAATTTGCACCACTCAGTAGGCTTAGATCAATTTAAAACAATTAACAGGCTCCAATTTGGACCAATCACAGGCCCGCAGCTGCAATATAAGCTATATATGCAACTCTCCTCTCACACTTCTCAGGTTGGTTTAGGAAGGCATGCTCTAGTGTACTGACTCCCCTGTGGTGTACCATAGACTCCATTTAAATAAACCCTTGTTCTAATGGTCTTGTATATTTACTTAGGTAGTGTGAGCTCTATTCAAGGGTCATCCTGTATAGAGCAGATAGAGTAATTGTTTTAAAAAAGAGGTACAAAAAGTGGTGGCTGTTAGCCCTGAAGAGCTACAGAGGTAGCAGCCATCAAAAATTAGTGATGAAGTCCAGCAATTGACTGAGTCAACTGACAATATCCAGCATTGACCAGAAGTAGCTGGCAGTGGCAGTGACCAACATCAGGCAATGTTGACTGGCAGCACCAAACATTACAGTTTGTGGTGTAGATGTTGTTGACTGGAAGCCTGTAGGCCCAGAGTGTAACACTAAGGGCTGAGGGCCCTTGGTGCTCAAACCTCAGAGCAACTGGTAAAGCTGCACTTTGCCAATTCCTGATTTCTATCTGTATTGAGCAAAAGAACCCACAATTGATTAGGAACAATGTGGCCATCACTCAGGTGCAATTTCCAATACAATATGTGAATGGTTTTGCAGGTCAGTTCAAAGTCAGCCTTCCTCTATAGCTGTCTCCTGCCTAGCCTAAGGGTTCACTTTTCCCAGAAGCAACCTGACACATGCATAGATGCTAGTCCATTAATGGCTTCCTGATATCATTTAAAAATGCACTCTGAACATTGCTTTTCATCATCATTTTCCTCTGGACTTAGTTGGTATGTGGTTCATTAGGAACTAGAACTCAAGACAGCCTGATTCCAAAATTCCACTGAGAATGTAGGAGGCATGTTTTGACCACATGTGGTCACCAATGGACTCTGTAGGGAAAAATATATGTGGGAAGTCTTTGAAATGGGAGAAAGAGAAAATGGTACTCAGAACAATATCTTATCTTCTTGTTATTGTTTCTTAAATTTTTTATTATTATGAGCTAATTGTTCATATTAATGGGGGTCAGTGTGTCACTTCAATGTGTGTACTGACCAAATCCAATCTCCCTTTATCAACACTCTCCCCTACTGCCCAAATTCTAATAGTCTCTATTTACATTCCATTTGACTTTGAAAAAATAACTTCCACATGTTAGAGGAAACATGAAGTACTTGTCTTCTTGGATCTAGCTTGTTTCACTTAACCTAATGGCCTCCATTTCAACTATTCTTCTGCAAATGACAGGATTCCATTCTTCTTTATGGCTGAATAATATGTAATTATGTAAAATACCACAGTTTTTATCCATTCATCTATTTGTTTGTTTGTTTGTACCGGGGATCGAACTTGGGACTTTTCGCTTGTGAGGCAGGTGGCAGAATCATGGAGCTAAATCCCCAGCCCATCCATTCATCTGTTGATGGGCACCTAAGTTGATTCTGTCTTCTACTTATTGTGAATAGTGCCTCCAATAAACAAGGGCATATAAATGTCTCTTTGGTATGCTGATTTCATTTCCTTTTAATATATGTCAAGAAATAAGATTGCTGGATCTTGTGGTCTTCTCCTTTTTGTTTTGTGAGGAACCTCCATTATTTTTCTCCAAAATAGTTGCATCAACTTATATTAACACCAAAGGTACACAAGAATTCATTTTTCTCCACATAGTATCATTTATTATATTTTGTTTCTTATAGTAGTCATCAGAAGATATCTCATTGTAGTTTTCACTTCTATTTCTCTGATGGCTAAGAATATTAAGCCTTTTTCATATATTGGTTAGCCATTTGTATGTCTTCTTTTGAGAAGTATCTATTCATTTCATTTCTTCATTTTTAAAATTTGCACTACTTTTTTTTTTTGGTTAAGTGTCTAGAGTTCCTTATATGTTATGTATATTCACTTTGGTGATTGCTTTTTCCACTGTGCAGAAGTTTTCTAATCTGATGTAATGTCATTTGTCCAGTTTTGCTCTTGTTTTCTGTGCTTTGGGGCTTATATCCAAAAAAATGGTTGTTTATGTGAATGTCTTGAAATGTTTCCTCTATGTTCTCTTCCAGTAGTATTACAATTTCAGGTCTTACATGTCGAGCTTGGATTTGATTTTTACATGGTGAGATAAAGGGGTCAGGTTTTAACCTTCTGCATGTGGATATCCAGTTTTCTCCTCACTATTTGTTGAAGAGGCTGCCCTTTCTCTAATGTATGCTTTTGGTGCTTTTAGCAAAAATCAGTAGGCTAGAAATACTATGGTTTCTTTCTGGCATCTCTTTTCTGGTCCACTGATCTGTGTGTCAGTTTTTATGCCAGCACTATACTATTTCAGTTACTATGGTCCTATAATACTTCTTGAAATCAAGAATTGTGATGCCTCCAGCTTTGTTCTTTCTGTTCAAGACTGCTTTGGTTATTCAGGGTATTTTTTGCTTTCATATGGACTTTAGGATTCTTTTTCTAATTCTATGAAATGGTATTTTGATGTGGATAGCACTGAAT